AAAAATGTCATTGATCTTACGTTTAAATAACCCCAGAGACTCTGTGTTCCTTATATCGCGTGGTAAACTGTTCCATAATGTGGCGCCATTGTAGCTAAAGCTTTTTCTGTAATAATTAGTGCGCGGTAGTGGAACATTAAGCTTATTTTCAGAGTCCCTGAGGTCATAAGCAGAGTCACGCCACGTAAACTTTGAATATAGATACCTTGGAGCTAGCCCGTGCAGACATCTAAACATCATGGTGGCTTTATGGATTTCCTGCTGGCGTGCAAGATTTTTCCACCCTAAAAACTCGAGTAGCTCAGTTGCATCAGCATCATAGTTAGAGAATGTCAACACACGGGCTGCTCTATTCTGCAATTTCTGCAGTTTGTCTGGATATGTTGCGGGCTCAGTGCGTGCGATCGATGATGAGTCTTGAAACCTTTACTCAGTTGATCTATTTCAGAACTCTTGTCGGAATTTATTTCCTTAAATTATCAAACTTTGAATATAGGCGAAACTGAATCCTCAGTTTAAATATCATTGGTCATTTACTATTTCAACTTTACTATTTCAACTTAGTTGATGTTACCAAATTGCCTTATTACCCCCACCGACGCAGCACCACAGTTTCTTTAGAAACTTGCCCCCTTTATTCAGCCGAACGTATAGCTTTTTAACTCTTTACGGGGGCCAATTTACTATTTCAAATTAGTTAATATTACCAAATTATTATGTTCTTAGTATTGAAAAGGTACCAGGCAGTTAAAAAAAAAAATCAAGTATAAAAGATAAACTATAAATTTTTTTCTGCGGAAATGCTGTCGGTAAAACGATTCATTTGCGTTTCGGACGACTGCACATGCTTCTGACTTTGTTTATCGTAACATGATAAAGCCTTGCCTATCACAACTCCCACAAATAATCACAACACAGTGTGAATTTGGCCTTGGTCGCTATCGATCGATTCTATACCGAAAAATCCGGCTTCTTCTTCCTCATAATAAAACCCAGGACAAAAAGGAAGTTTTCTAGTTGTTCTAGGATTTCGTTTCGGGTAAAACTTTTGTTTCTGTGCGACAAGCGAAGGCGCGACGCAAATGAATTAGAATTGTGGCCATAAAGAGTTCACACAAATGTTAACATATCGGTAAAATTATGTGAACCAATACCAACACATGGATTGGATGCATGTAACAGAGAAGTTACAATTCATAGACCGAACGTTTCGACACTCGTTACCCTTTGCTCGTCGCGTGTGCTTCACAAACAACCTTATAAAATTCAACAAAATTAATCTATACCTTTCAGCCTGAGCCAAGCAATCGGAACAAAGTAATTGATCATGGCCTGAGTGTAGTGCCTTTCCCACCTCTCTTACAACCATAACGTGACGGCAAAGGGGATATTTGTACTCCACGACGATCTTGCTTAGTTCAGTTTCCAAAAGTGGATCGTAAGCATGAACACCGCTGCTCTCATTTCCCTCTCTTCGAAAATTCATCGCTTTGTTGAGAAAAAGGAATCGACTCGAGAGTAAGGTTTGAGTTTTTCTTTATGTTTACGAATGGAATACAGTTGTTGACGCAAAGACCCCGACCGTACAATAATCTGTCGTTGAGGCGTAACGGTTTAAAAGTGTAGATCCATGAGAAAGGCCTCACTTGTGGGGAAACCCCCATTCAGTTGCAGCGTGCCTGATTGGTCAGCAATGAGGTCAGTAGCCCGGGGATCAGGTCGGTAGCCAATCAGGTACGCTGTCAAGTTTAAAGGGGAACTCCCGGGGCATATGGTTTCTCTCGTGTGATCGCGCAAACGAAGAGTGGATGGGGTGGTTACAAAGCGAGAGATTTCTGGAGGATTTGAAGTTTTCTGGAGCACGACCTTGCGTGATAGATCGAAAGAAATATACGCAGAGACGTCAATCAGGGTCAACTTTTGTGCCGTATTTACCGTTCAAATCGTAACAAAGACAAGCGTTTCTTTAGAATACCTACTGTCAAAAGTAATGTCGGAGATAATTTAAAATTGCTTCAAAAACAACGCCAAAGCGAGTGGGTAAAGAGAATCAAACGTGAAGACCTGACTCCAGACAAGTATTCGAACGCTCGTGTTTGTAGTGATCACTTCGTATCAGGTAAAACGCTACAATAATTTTCAAACTAACCAATATAGGTCTTAAGAGTACAAGTATTTCATTTATAGTGGTGTTCT